TATATTGATATATATATATATATATATATATATATATATATATATATATATCAATATACTTTTCAATGCAATGCTCATGAATACACACAGTTACCAGGACAAAGGACAACACATGAGATTATTTAAATATTTCGGACGTATTATCCTCATATGTTTAGAACCAATAAGAATACTGCTTTATCTTTCCAGATACTTTTTATTGAAACTCTTCCCTTTTCATTTCCCTTTCCTAATTCATTATTGCCTTCCCGGATACTTCGAGAGAAATCAAAAGTTAGTTGCATCAAATGAAACAAGCATATCACGACAACTGTATCTCATTTCTTCGAAATACATTGTTATAATTTCAATTCGCAAAGTATTCTTTATCGTGCATTTACCTTACAACTGGAGCTCCACGGGATCCTTCAAAGAAATTGCTTTCTCCCATTAATTTGCGGGAACGCGGCGAGTGGTATTTTGGTGAGAACCTTCAATAGCTTTCGAGCCTTATGCCGCCGCTCTTATTTATCGCGACCAGTGGATCTACGACTCTGATATTTAGGAAGAAACGGGAATAGGTCCTTCATGCGAATTGACCATCATCGTTGGTTCGGTGCGAGAAGCGCATCTGAACGCGTTCTGGTAGTTGCCCTCTTCATTTCCGCATTATCTATGGCGTAGAACTCACAGCATTATATTTGTTGTCATTTTGCCTGTAGTCCACTTTATATCATTATATTATCGTTCTGTTACTATAACTATAATAGTATAATAATAATAAGAAAAAGAAGAAGAAGAAGTAATTGTAGAAAAAGAAATTGTTAAGTATTATATACATGATCTAAATTCTACATTGATAAAATTCTATAATACTAAATCTAAAATTCTAAAATACATTTTAACAATGTAAAATGTATATGTAGAAATAGAGTATAATTAATATTGAAATTAATAATTATACAATTGTTTAATTAATTGAAAAGTTTAATTAAGTATTTGCAAGCAAATATTATAAATAAAATAAGTATAACTAAATTTGATAGTTTTCGAATTAGTATATTTTCCATTTCAACGAATAAACATCGAAGTTCTATCTTTTCATAATGTGAAACTTAAATAATTTATACATTCGATTATTTTACATTCATTTGAACAATTTATAATTTACATGGATATTATTAATTTATTATTTAATATTATTAATTATTATTAATATATTTGTTTACATTTCACAATCCATAAGACGCGTTAATAATAAGATAATTTTAATTTAATATTTCGATATGTTTAAATCTCGAACTTGACTGTCATTGACTGCATTTAATGATAACAAAAACGAACGTTCGATCGACTTTGATTATTGATTATTGATTTTTTTGCATTTCGACAAATAAATATCGAAATTCTCTCTTTTCGTACGACTAAGTTTAAATAATTTATACTTTCAATTATTAGAGTCTATTTTGAGCTTCCGCGCTTGCATTTGTAGTTTATATTATATCCATACGTGTCACTGAAGCCATGCATGCTTCGGAGTACATATGTACATATAATATCTTCCTTACATATATGTATGTACTATATATATTTATGTATAAAAAAGTTATCCAAATTATACTACTTAAGATATTTTATGTTGTAGTATAAATTTCTTAACATATTATGTTAATTTTATGACTTTATTTTTTAAAGAGATTTATTATAATTTATTCAATCTTTTCACAAGAAGGAATTAATGTGTCGTAAGTATTTTCAAAACATACAGATATATGATTTAGATAAAAATAATTATATTTGAGAATAGAAACGTTACTGTATCGTAGACTAATACATTTCACAACGAACATTATTAGAAGTTGATAAGAGAATTTTTAATTTTTCGCCAAGCTCTTTAATCATATTAATTTATTTAAAAAAATATGTATCTACGTTGTATAGGAAATATAATCCAAAATATATAAGATATTGTAAAACGTTTTAAATTGATAAATATCCTTTTCTTTCTTTTCTTTTTTTTTCATCTTTCATTAATATTTTAATTCAAATTCAATTCCCCTTTTTCCCCTTTTCTTTTTTTCACATGACGAGTATATCCGTGGTAAAATAAGAAAGAAAAAAAGGAAAAAATAAGATTGCTATCTCTTCATGACGAGTATACTCGTTAAACACAATTTAATTATTATATGTATTATTCATCAATATAAATCAAACATAATTTAATATCAATAACATCTGAAAAAATAAAACAGGAGTCTATCTGCCTTGAGCAAAAGCACTTTCGCGTCATACTTATGAAGAATTCATATGCAAAGCGGAATTTTCTTTGCGTTCTTTTTTTCGAAACGCTTTTAGAACACTGGGAATGCAAAAAAGTCGAGAAGATCGAACAAAAGAAGAAGAACGAACTTGAGGAAAATACCCCTTCCCTTCCACTTCTCTCATCGAATCCTTTCTATAAAAAGGTGCTCTTTTGCTAATCTTAATTAACATCCGTTCCTTTTTAAGAAACACGCTTCCTTTTCTTCGTCATATTTTTCTCGTACGAGACGTTTCTCTATTTACTCCTTCTCTCTCTCTCTCTCTCTCTCTCTCTTTCTCTCTCTCTCTCTCTCTCTCTCTCTCTCTCTCTCTCTCTCTCTCTCTCTCTCTCTCTCTCTTGCTCTATCAGTCATTCATTCGTATATTTCTTTCTCTCTGTTCATTCACTCTTCTTTCTTTCTCATTCTATTTCTTTCTGTTTGTCTGTCTCTCTTTCTTTATCTTTACAAACCCATCCCAACGGGGCTTGAGCTCGAGCTTTTGAACTTTCGAGTACTCTCAAAGAAGATGGAGGTAAACTACCGGTGAGTAGTAGTAGTCAATGGATGAAAAGGTGCCGCTTCTGTGTTTCCATTCGTTTTACTGCAGACTTTACGATCTTTACGACTACGTGACGAAATAAATCGTCGATCTATTAGGTGTAACTTGGATACCCATTGCCATCTTTAAACCTCGTATTCTGTTAAGTTTTCTAGTGTAAACCTCCTCCCTTTCATCCCCCACGATCACCTTCTCTTAACTGACTCCAAGAAAATGTTTTTCTATCGGCCGGGTGTACATTTTTGAAATTCATGATCTCTATGTCATTCGTTGATATTGTTTTATTAGCGTTATTAATAAACGGCGTATATTGATCATTAACCTTCTGACTTTTTATGCTACGTTCAATCAATTACGAAACCTTTTTAACTATCGTTTCTTCTCCTTTTTTAGTTCATATTATTCTCACTGAAGATTAAAAGTATGAGGGCAGTTTTATTTTTCTTCTTTCTCTTCTTTTCTTTTTTTTCCTTTCTTGTCTTTAGTAATTTTATTTGTTATAATCGAATTGCCTTGCATTAAATGGGATGAGAAGCTTTAATAACTTTTAAAAAGTATCACCCTGTATATATATATATATATATATATATATATATATATATATATATGTATATATATATATATATATATATATGTATATATATATATATATATATATATATATATATATATATATATATATCGTGACATCGGTTGTGTATAGAAAGAGATACAGATGGTCCCGTGGAAACTTGATTAGAGAAATTTCTTTAATTTGTGACCGGAGGCGTCCTGCTCCAAAGATAAAGTACTTTTAAAAAGAATCTGTTCGAAAAGTTTAGTATCACGTTAAAGGAAACAAATAAGTTTAGTTACTAAGTCTTCTTCTTTTTCTTTCGAAGTTCATCGTTCGATCTTTTACTTTTAAACCAAATTGAGAATTTGGCAGAAAATTTGGTAGGATAATTTGTAGGATGATTTAATTTGCCTGCCGTCATCGATAATTTTTAGTTCCACTAAAATATCGACTATCAATTAAAGTTTATTTTATTAATGAAATACTACTCAAACATACATATCTATAAATAAATATATGTATACTTATGCATATACATACACATACATATATTCATATATATGTACATTCATGATTAAGAGAAAAGGTTTCCACGGACGGTTATATAATCGTCCTAGATAAATAGACATTTTTAATAATAATCTTTACTTAAAACGCACAAATTTGGTTCGTTAATATTTCGTCGCAAAGAAAAAAAAACGATTAAACTACTTTTAATTATGATTGGTTATTTATTCGAACAGTATTCTTAAACATTCTGGCTATATTTGAAATAAATAGTCAGTATTTGTAATAAAATATCATGTTTGTAATATATTATAGATGACGCAAATCTGACACTTAATTATTTGTACTAATCAAACTATTCATATAGATTGATCATTTATTTTACAAAGTTCTCACTATTAATTAACTATTAATAAAATTAGTGATCGAATAAATAAAAATGCTTAATTAATCATCTATTTACTATTACTCTATTTCCCTATTAAATATTTTTTCAAAATCTAATTATCGATAAATAAGATATGTGAAAGTACTATTACTAAATGATATTAGAGAAATTAATAAAAAAAAATATTTCAAATTGGTAAAAAATATATATCTTGAACGGCGGCACGTAAGTTTTTATAGTCCATATCGAATGATCCATGCAACTATATCAATCTTATTCGAACATTCGTTCAAATCAAAACGACTTGAAGCTCATGGACTTTTTGACGAGAGGCGGGAGGGAGCAAAACGGCGGACGGTCAACAGTTTTTCTTCGAGGAAGATTAAAAGCGGTCGGCCATGAGCGTTCGAATGGACCGTTGAACATTTTTTCGCCTCGCGTACGTGATTAATTGGTGCTCATCCATCTTCATTCTATTGTCGTTAGTGCTGTGGTTTCTCTTTCTCTCTTTCTCTCTCTCTCTCTCTTTCTTTTTTCGCTCTATCAAAGGAAATAAAAAAATGAAGAGAACGAAAGGAAAAGCAGTTATCGGTTACGATTAATTCCGGTAAAGAGAAAATATTTATTGGAATAAAAAAAACTGGTAATGGAGATTTTTGGTATAATTAAAACTAATTTTCTCTTTCTTCTTTCTTGATATTTTTAAAGAGTGTCAAAGATGACGAGGCTCGGAGTGATGCTGGTTGTTGTGGAAGCCATTCTGATGACTACATTCTTTATCAGTTCAACGGCTGAACTTTATACAGCATTGGCAGATATGGAAGAACTTTTGGAAACCGAATCGGTTCTTATAGACACTCTCAATGGATACATAAAAGCTCAGGAGCAACGATTGGCTACTCTAAGAAAGTAAGTCTTACTCGTAGATATTCTTTTTTATTTATTTATTTATTTATTTTGGTTATTTAACTCTTTGATTACGGCAAACTTTGAGACATACCAACCGTACTATATGATAGTAATTCAGTTGCGATTTATACCGAGAACGGCGTCCATTTTTGAGAAAGTATATTGAACAATTAAAACACTGAATTCCATTACATTAAACAAATATTATTTATTTGTTCGTATTCTGCATTAAACTGCAGAATAATTAATGCACCTAATAAAAATTCAACATTGACTTTAAGCTTCTTTCACGATATATCTAATAATCTACTAAAGTGTTAAAGTAAGTTAAGCGTCTATATGTGCCTACAATATCATAAGATATTTTTTTAAACGCTTAAGAAAGAGAAGCGCGTTTTTTTACAGTATCACAAGTGCAAATTTATTAAGCACGCTTAGATGCCAGTCAAAGGATTAATACTTTTAATATAATCTTGCACAAAATCGATATATCGCGATTCATTGGTGATAATAATTTGCGAGAATATTAAAAATAATAACATCAAATATGACCAAACGCCTAAAACGTGTAATCCAAAATAAAAGGACTATTTAACGAAATATTGACATTGCATTTATTCTACATAAAAGAGAAAAAAGTAAAAAATATTAATTTCCGATAAGTATCCGAATACTACTTTTGTCATGTAATAATTAAACATGATTTCGATTTATTTACATTACGTTATATGAACATTTAATAAACTAACAATATGTAATTTTAAAATATGTTTCATAAGAGAAAAAGGGTTCAATCAAATTCTTTCATAATTAATTCAGATAGATTAATAAAAATATTTTCTTAACGTTCGAATATTTTTGACAGTAACCCATACTTTATTATGGAACTACTACTTGTATTTCATGTATTCTACGAATGAATTTTGCAGATTGTGAAAGTTTTGTCTGCTTTTTATCGATCAGAATATATAAGAGTATTTCATTTCCATCTAATTATTCTACGCCAATATAATCACATCGAACTAGGTTTCTTCTGACGTAAAAATCACATCATATTTTCCCAGCAAATATTACTCCAATAGAAGCAAAAGAAAGGAACAAACTATTAATTATTCGTCATTGCTTCGTTTGTTATGACTGCAATGATCGAAACATTTTTTACTGTATACTAATCAAGTCCATAAAGTAACCAGTTTTTAATTAAGTTTGTTGTACAGTTAAATATGATTCGTTGTAATTTCTGCGTGTTGGTTTATTCCACTTTTAATTTTGTGAATTTTCCTGTCGGAATATTTCTGTCGAACATTTTTGTAAAAAGTTAAAATAATGTTAAATTTCATATAAAGAGAAAGTCACTTCGTAATAATAACAATAACAATAATGATAACGTTTATATAATAATAATATAACAATAATAAAAGAGTAAAAATAATAACGACAGTTATGATCAGATATGTTGATAACGATAATAGTAGTAGAAGTGTATATGTAGTACTAGAAGTACGTGAAAATGTAACGTTTACAATTTTCAATCAAAATATTTGATATCGTAACCGTGATATTTTTACAGCATCGGATCGTAATGTCGCTACTTTCTTACGTGATATCTGTATAGATACGTTTGTAATATTATTCCTAGGACTAACATATATACGCGAGATCGAGAAGTCGTCTTTCTTGGATTTTATCGTGAAAAGTAAAAAGGGAGAGAGAGAGAGAGAGAGAGAGAGAGAGAGAGAGAGAGAGAGAGAGAGTTCTAAGTTCGAAAGATCGGCATAATATTATTTCAATAAAATTAGATATATATTATATACTTTCGGAGAGAAATAATATATCTCGGGCAGATATTAAAATAATGTTTCAAAAAAATGAACTAAATATATTCTTTATCTCTTCTTATCAATAAAAAAATTCTTAATTTTGTTTTAATATAACTTCCTCTACGCAAACACACACACACACGTATATATATATATATATATATATTTGATAGCTATATTTTTTAATAATCTATCGCTATAAAAAAATTATTAGATCATATCCGAAATTGTTAATGTTCCCTTCTGTTTTTTTAATACCTAAGTAATACTATAACTTTATATATATATATATAATGTTATTATACTATAACATTATATAACCTTTTGTTTGTCTGTAGAAACTGAAGATAAAATTTAGTTATAGAGGTTTAAAGATCTGTTCACTTTAATTGCATAATTTACGAAACAAAAAGAAAAAAAATTATTCTCCACGGAATAGACCCAAGGCGATATCATTCGTAACAGATAGACATTTATTTATTTTTTCTTTCTTTTTTCTTTTCTTTTGAAGACTCCCGGTTTTCAAAAGACGTTGGTCAGATCGCAATCTTAACGTTTATCATCCCGCAATCCTTACTCAACCTTTCTTTTTTCCTCCCTTCCTTTTCTGTTCACCGTGGTGATCTGAGAATGGTCAGAGATATTGGTATCGAGTCGGGCAGCGTGCCAAATCACACCCTAGGGAAGGTGAAAAGAGAAGGAAAAGAGGGATAAAAGGGAGCATGGAAGAAGGTGACAAAAGTGTCGCACTTTCCCTTCTCGACCTTGTTGCAAAGTAAGCAGAATGAGAAAGGTATGGTTGGTGAATCGAACCTTATGTCACAGTAAAAACTCTCTTTCTCTCTCTCTCTCTCTCTCTCTTTATCTATCTATCTTTATCTCTATCTCTCCCTCTCTCTTTCCTTCTCTCTTTTTATCTTACTTTTCTCCCTCACTCCATCCTCTCAATCTGTTTATTTTATATTATCAATATGTTCATTTTCTTTTTTACACTTTAGGTAGTTTGTTCGATAGATAAATGTAACGCGAAAACGATTATTCTTTCAAAAATAAAACGTGTACAAGGAATTAACGTTGATAAAAGAAGAATTTAAATTGGAATATCTAGTCGCAGATTAAAAAAAAAGAAAAAGGAAGATTTTTTAATTAAAATAATGTAATAGTAAGATCAGAAAAAAAACTTACGTACATAAGTACATAGTTTCGATAAAAACAATTAACTATAGTATATTTACATACATTATGTATATTAATATTCATGTAACATAGATAAAAAGAAAAATTTTGCCTCCAGGATAGTAGAGATTTCTTCTTCAATATGTTGCCAATGCTATCTAAAGTTCCATTTTTTCTATCTAACACATATCGACGTGCCATGGGAGACACTTTTGCACGAAACGATATATATATATAGAAAGAGAGAGAGAGAGAGAGAGAGAGAGAGAGAGAGAGAGAGAAAGAGAAAAAGAGAGAGAGAGAGAGAGAGAGAGAGAGAGACAAAGAGAGGTGGAGAGACGGACAGACGGACAGTGAAAGATAGACGAAACTCCGATTTTCTCGCAATATTTTCGGTCCCTTCGGAAGATTTTTCGCATATTAGCATATAGATGGAAATTGAAAAGTCGTTTATGGAAAAACGAAGCAGTGACGCGGCTAAAAAAAAAATTGCGCGTGTGAATGCGAACGAGAAAGAGAAAGAGGAAAAGGAAAGAAAAGAATCGACAGAGAGAAAGAGAGAAAAAGAGAGAGTTTTAGATAGAAAGATAGAAGTTTTTAACTTTTGCAGGTACAATTTCTGTTAGCGAACGAATGAGGGTTGTTCGAACAAGAGAAGCTTTCACGCGGTTTCATGGCCAATCCTCCCTTTGCGTTCGATCCTTCTCCGCAACCCCTCTCCACGTTGGCTATTCAGAGTTCGCTGATCGGTGGATGTGCCACGTGACCACAAGATTGCGTGCCGATAGATTTGTTCAGGACTCTGCCTTTGTTACCATTCATCGAGCGACGATCCTTGAATAAATGCTACCTTATTACGTGGATCGTTCTGTGGTCGCTGTCGGGATTTTGCACCTATAAATGCACGTGCCGTGCAACGATTTCGTGCGGAATAAACGAACGTAGATAACGAGTTGGGAATGGGTGGGAGTGGGAGTAAGGAACTAAAGACGATAAAAGTGTCTTATATCCGAGTAGTTAACTTTCAAGTAAATTATATTTTCGATGTATCTTACATACTTGATATACATCATGTATGTAAATATACTTTAATTGTTTTTATCGAAATAACTTTAAGTTATAAAATATGAATAGGAATATCAAGATTAGATTTCTTTTTTTATTTACATTAGACTTATATCTATATTTAATACAAGTGCTGGGAAGGATATCGATAGATATCTTTCCAAAGAAATTTCACTATTTATAAGGACTTTCTTCTATTAGTTAATTTGTTAACAGTATCTTTGTAAATTTTATGGAAATAATAACTGCAATTACATTTTGATTAGAAAAATCTTTAGGAAAATAAATTCCTTTCACTTGAAATTCTCATCCTATATTACGTTTACGTAAGGATTTCGTAGAAGTGGACTGGAATGTTCTTACGTTCGTGTATCATTACGTTTTTTATTATAGGTATTTATTACGAGCTCTTTGTAACGTCCGACAAATTCTTCGAAGAAACAATTAGTTTTACATTACATCGCGGGACAAAAGACACGAACAGTCAGGAGAAAAAATCAAAACTGTAATAAATATCGATTAGACATTAAACTTACTGTGTTGATTTAACTCTGCATGTATACTTCTTTTTTTTTTTTCATTATCCTACATGTCAATATATTTTATTAAAATTATAAAGAGTTATTATCATCAATCATAAGAAAAGTATCATTGTCCAAATTTTAATAGAAAATATTAAATTCGAAGGCACGACGTGTTTGCGGATACAGAAACGCGAGGTTAAACGTCGATTTGAACGCTTTCAAGATGCGTTGTCGATACGAATGTCGAGTCGAATATTTTACAAGCCGTACGTGCGATTCATACATACGTATATACACAATGATGTACATTAACGATTGTATTTGCGTAGTACAAGCAAATTCCACACATACAGTGGTATGGTTTCCACGTGATTCGATTACAATTGGTGAACTTCGAATGACCATAGAGTAAAGA